AAAAAAAAAAAAGCAAATAGAATATGAAATGTTTCCTCTCACTCCATCTGTAGGAAGGTCGACCCTGCATATATCTGTTGTGAGGGCTAAAAAAAAATTAATTAACTTTTCCTCTCACCTTTTAAGTTCTTCTAGCTGGGCTAATAATCAAATTAACAGAGACAGACTAACAGGAGGAAATCAAATTCCTAATACATGCACATGGGAAATTCATGTAAGCATAAAAATTCCAAAGACAGTGAAGCAACATTAGGTATGTAAGGCATTTTGGACAAAGGGGAAAAAGGTCAAGTGTGGGGAGAGTATTAGATTTTAGAACTGACAATGGATGATTTACAGGTGGTTGAGGAAGACTGGAACACATATGGCAGTCAAATTCTTGCTGGGCAACTCAGGAACATTGGGATACAAGGGGTGTCTAGCTAACAGGTGCCTGCCTGAAGCCCTCTTACTTAGTATACTTAACTCAAATTAGGCTGTTCAGGTCAAGGCCAACATCCTAAGATTTCTTTCCTGAAGCATGTTTTTCCATCTCTTGGGCAGGAAAGGGGGAGGGTCAAATGTTCTTTTTGAGTCTTGTTTCTTAATCAACAGCTTAAAATCAATACCCCCAAAAGGCAGCTTCAGGGTGGCAAAGCTTTGGTTCCCTTCATTGTCAAATGCCTGACTATAAGTCCTAAATGAAAATGTTGCCATCCAGCATTCTATAAAATTTAGCTTATGGAAAATAAATCATCACAATGCCTATTTCAGGCCCAAATGATCATTTTTAGGTCAAAGAACTTATATAGTACAAAAATATACCTATTAAAATATCAGATAGCAGCCCCTTGACCAATAACACCCATCAGCTCAGTTGTATCTGCATCTATCAAATAACTGTTGACGTAAGAAATGTCTAAACCTGTAGAGAAGTTTAATGAGTTTATTTGAGCCAAACTAAGGGCAATTGCCTGGAATAAAATCTCAAGGGATTAAGAAAACGCTCCAGAGAAAGGCAGTTTTGCAGCTTATTTTATACATTAGAATCAAAGGAGGAGATGTTGTAAAGAGGGTTACATAAAATCTATTGATGGTAGGTTAAGGGGGTGGGAAAAAGCAAAGCAGAGAAATCTCTGGATTTGATAAAAAGTAAAACGAAGAGACACATACTTCTTTTACATTGGTGGATACAGGATAGCTAATAATTAACATTTACAGCAGTAGAGATGGTATTAGGGGAACAAGATAACAAGAGGGGCTCTGTAGTCCAGTGCTCTGGTGCTGTGGGTTGTGCCCTGGGGTGTTGGGAAAAAGGGATTACTCTGACATTCCAAAGGCATGTTATTGTAGATGCAAAATGACAACAAACAGGCTCTGCTCACTTAAGGTCAAGGTTGACCTTGTCAAGGCAGCTATAGGCCAAGGATGTTGACTACCCGCCATGACCAGCTTTTAGTTAGGAATTTCTATGTTCATACCATCCTGTGTGGTTAATTTCCGTCTCTGAGGTTGTAGGGCCCACTATGCTGGCCTCCCCTGGGCTTGTCAGATTTGGTATGTGGTCCCTTTTTCATCCATATTAAGTACCTCCAATATCACATTACCCATGAATTTCATGAGTAGCTTTATTTCTATTTTAACAACAGCAATATTATGCATATTTTAACACAAACTATTAATGATATTATTCTTGCACCTTATTCTCAACATGTTAAAAATAACATCTATAACAACCTTCAGATCTAGCCCTCATACAGATTGTCTTATTTCTAGTCATGGCACCAAAGGCTCCTTTTCAATCAGATTTGAAGTCCAAGGGTCATCTTTAATTCACTTCAAGCCATTCCTCACACTGCCAACAAATTAATCTTTCAAAAGTGCAATTCCTGTCATGTCAATTCCTTGCTAGAAAAAAAAGGGGAAAAGAAGCCAATGCCTCTCCATGCTGATTAACTACCAATCCTTTTTCCTGGGGTTTAATACCATCCAAGATATGCATTTGGTATCATAAATACCTTTAATTTGCACAGCTCTGTACTTTTTGCTATTATGAATTATGGTTCTTATTAGCTAACATTTAATGACTACTAAATATTTAGTCCCTGCCCTTAGGCTTCACATAAATTAGATAAGCTCAAGATAATCCTATTAGGTAGATACTATTGTATCCTTATTCCTAATATGAGTAAACCAAAATTACCAAGTTAGGTAACAGATGAGGAGAGCTGATTTCAGCCAGGGCTGTGATATGTCTGAAGTAACAGAGATGGAGCACTGAACAGTAGTGAGTCGGCTCTGTGTCTTGTGACTCCAAGGCTAATGATACTAATAATTCCTTTCCTTCTGCCCCTTAAACCAGATATAAATTTTAATTCCAAATGGAATGGATGTTGTTATTCTCTAGTGGAATGAGGATGGTTGCTGGAAGAGGCCACAGAAATTCTATTCCCTTTTTTCTCTAAACTGTGACATGGTCAGTGTCCCTGTTTGTAGCTGCTTTGCTTACTGCTTTGGTCACCATATCTAGATTTTCCCCAACAATTCTAATTTCAAACTTTCCACCCCTCATTATCAGAGACACGGTTTAGAAGAATGCATGAGAAAACATTGTCAATAAAACATTAAAGCCAATAAAAACTCGGACATGATGAAAAAGACGTTAGAGGAAGCAGAGGGAATGGAAACTCTAATGCCTCGGATGTTGCATTGTTACCTGGGCTTCACAACAAAGCAAAAGTGAAGGCCCCTCCCTTTTGTCTCCTGATTTCAGAACCTAACCTTGTGTCTTAAGTTCTGGCCTGACAAAAGCCCAGTGTACCCCTTGCAGATATACAATGAATAGCTTAGGAGAAAATGGAGCCCAAAGCATTCTTTCAAATAACCAGACAATTGAAGTAAATACGCACAAGTGAAGTATCCTTTGTTTTGTAAGCATAGCCTCTTACTTGCAAAGGAAAGAACTGATGTTTGACAAACCTTGTGATAAAGTTTTGCCCAAAGCAGCCACCTTTATTTTAGGATATGAAAATCTAATTAACTTTTATGATGTTAAACCCAAACACTTAAATAGAATTCTTAGGCATATGTGCTCAGTTAACCTACTATTGATAATATCAAATAAGTTTAAAAAACCATTGACATTTACATTTTCTCTGAGAAAAACATTAAAATAAAATTATGCATATAGGATGTAAGAATGTTAAAGGTATTCTTCATTACTTACTGTGGCGATTCAAGTAAAATTGGTCAATAAGTAGAAAGATGTTTCAAAATGGGCATCTACTTTTAATTTCAAAGAGCAGTCTATTCATGTAGTCTTGATACTGAATATTTTATGTATTTGACATGGAACAAAAAAAAAGGGTAGAAAATTCCTGAGCTGTGTTGTTAATTAAATGTCAAATAACACACTGAGATGACTATTTTATGATGACTTCAGAAAATTCCAAAGAGCAAGGTGTGTCTCTTTATAACCAAGGGGTTGTAATACCAAAGCAGAGCCTCCATGTGCTGAACATGTTCATGTTTTCCGCCTCTGCAATATGTTCCCAAAGGAGACCATCAGAGTAAAATTACATAAACTTGGACTCAGGTTTTGGTTTTATATAAATAAATAAATAAATACATACATACATACATACATACATACATACATAATATAATATAATTTTTAAAATGCAGTATGATAAAAAATATGGTGAATGTTTAAATTAAAAAATTATTATAGTAAAAGACACATTGCCATTAATCCCCCTCAAAATACTTCCCCTCGCTTGAACATACCTATCCCATCATTTTTTTTTTAATTAAAGTTTACCGGGGTGACAATTATTAGTAAAGTTACATAGGTTTTAGGTGTATATTCTGTAATATATTACTTATATATCACGTTGTGTGTTCACCACCCAGAGTCAGTTCTCCTTCCATCACCATATTTTTGATTATCCCGTCATTCTTGCCACTTTCTGAAGCAGTTCTGGAAGTCCTCATTCATGAGTGTCTTTAATTGTGCTGTCATGGCTGCCTTGATGTCTTGAATCATTTTGACTTTGGGGAAGAGCCAGAAGTCACATTGTGCCAGATCTGGTGAATAAGGTGGATGAGGACACACCGTAATGTTTTTATCTGACAGAAATTACCATATCAGAAGCGATGTATGACATGGCAGAGCATTGTTATGATGGAGAATGATTTATGACACACTTTAAAACACACCGTAGCTCACACCCGACTGACTGCACCGAACAAATTGAAACTTGTCACACACTGTTACTAAGGTTCAATGCACTGTTTCCTGTATTGAAGAAGCCTGCCTTTCCGTTAGATGGCACTCAGCAGCACCATTCACCGTATTTTGTGATCACAACAGGGGAAGGCTCTGTGTCACATATCGCTTCTGGTATGGCAATTTCTGTCAAATAAAAACATGATGGTGTGTCCTCATGCTCTTTATTCACCAGATCTGGCACTGTGTGACTCCTGGCTCTTCCCCAAAGTCAAAATGACCATGAAATGTAAATGTTTTTCATCGATTCAGGACATGGTGGCAGCACAGACATCACAACTAAAGACACTCACGAAAGAGGACTTCCAGAACTGCTTCAGAAAGTGGCAAGAACAATGAGATAAGTGTGTTTGCAGCAAGGGGGAGTGTTTTGAGGGGGATTAATGGCAATGTGTCTTTTACTGTAATACATTTTTTTAAACATTCACCATATTGTTTGATCACACCTTGTAAATAAATAAATACACAGTGCCAATAAAGAAATGAAAGATGAAGCTTTTTTAGGCTTTGTATCTAGGCTGCTTGTTATCTGAGCTTTTCAAAATCAAATCTGTACTAATGAATTTTCTTTTCCACAGGGAGACAAAGAAGCTGAATTAGGGCTTCCATTTTCCCCACTTTGTGATCGGAAGTCAACCATCGTGGCCCAGTCACAAATAGGTAATACTGAAGATCGGTTGTCGTGGAGAATGGGTGTGTGCTTGTCAGTTTTCCAATGAATACAACATGTTCAAAGGGGCAATGCCCATGAAAACCTCGCTCCATATTCATGATAAAATTTTTTGACCCATCTGTATGATGCTAAATCATAAGAGTTATTAAAACATTCTCACGAAACAAATTCAGTAAAGCAGTATTAGTAAATTTAATTGTTATTCTGTCTATAATCCTTTTACAAAAAAGAGAGGATTTTAATCTTGTAGAAGAGAGGATTTTTTTGCTGTTTTGTTGCTGATTAGTTTCTGTAATTTAATCCTTTGGATATAGAACAATTCAATGAAAATATTCATATGTCCGTTCTGTTATCACAATTGCATAATATGCTAATATATTAGTTCATATTATCTTGGAAAAAAATTGTTTTGATATGACTAGATAAGCCAACAATAGGAATTTTATAAAATGATACTGCTCCCTGCAATATTCATTCTTTTCATTTGTATTTGTGCTGGGGACTTTAAGTCCCACCCATTTTAAAACATATTAACGTTTATGCTCCATAGTTCAAATATTTGTAATAGTTATCCCTGAACAGAATCTTCATTAATTCGTAACTATTAGATGACTGCTTTACCTCTCTAACTGCCCCAATCCCACCTCCTACAAAGCAGGGGTGAGCTGGAAGAAAGCTTCTTGCTCTGACCTTTCCCTCTTCCCACTAAGTTCCAACAGCTGTTTTTCTAGATACTGTGACACAGGCACTTCTCATGCAGGTGAGAATGTGGCAAGTTAAGGACCTCCTCAGGTAACCTGGGATGAATGGAAGTTTCTGAGACTTTTTTGCTGTAGTATAAACTGCTGCCATGTTAGTACAGTTGGTGCCCAGTTATTTAAAACCATAACCAGAACTTGAAATAGCACGTTGGGTGGCCAAATAACATTGCTTTGACTTGAAGGCATCAATTAAAACACAAAACTATTGAAGTTTTTTTAACTAAAAAGGCACCTTAATATAATTCTCTGACTAATCTAGTTATTTGCAATGTGAATTACTTTTAGCCATGTATTGTGTTGTCAGAAAAGTCATGACGTATTTTGTCTATGTTTTTCAAAGTTTACTTATTTATATAAAGAACAAAGATCAATCAATATATATTGCCCGTTTTGTTTGATAACCTTTTGTCATCTTTCAGTGAGCTTCATAATTCCTTGTTCATAGAAGGACCTGTCTTTATTTGCGAAAAATTGAACAAGGTGCTGATTTACAGCCTTATCTGAATTGAACGTTATACCACGCAAGGAGTTTTGAAGACAGTAAAATAAGTGGAAGTCTGATGGCACAAGGTCAGGCGAGTATGGTGGGTGTGGCAACACATCCCATCCAAGCTCCAATAATTTTTGATGGGTGATCCAACTTGTGTGTGGTCTCGCGTTGTCACGATGGAGCACAACTCCTTTACAATTAACAAGTTCTGGATGTTTCCGGATGATGGATTCGTTCAAACTGTCCAGTTGCCGACAGTACACATTTGAATTGATCGTTTGGTTCCTTGGTAGGAGCTCAAAAAACCTTTTAAATCCCACCACACTGAGAGCATAACCTTCCTCTGATGAATGTCTGCTTTCGATGTCGTTTGAGGTGAATCATCACGTCGGGACCAAGACCGTTTGCACACCACATTGTTGTAAACAATCCACTTCTCATCACCAGTTATCAGTCGCTTCAAAAAAGGATCGTTTTCCTCACGTTTAAATGAGCATATTGCAGATGTTTATAGGCGCCATCAAATGAACTTCTTTGAGTTCATGCGGAACCCAAATATCGAGCTTGCTTTCATATCCCAGCTTCTTCAGGTGATTGTGAGCACTTGAATGACGGATGTTCAATGTTTCTGCAATCTCTCATGTCGTGTAACATGGGTTTGACTCGATCAATGCCTTCATTTTGTCGTCATCAACCGTGGTGGGCCTCCCTGACCAAGGAGTGTCGTTGAGATCAAAATCACCAGCACGGAATTTCATGAACCATCATTGGCACTGACATTCTTGAAGAGCATTGTGTCACCATAAACTTTATGTAACTTTTCACAAGCTTGATATGTGTTTTTCCCTTTATGGAAGTAAAACAGTAAAATATGGCAAAAATGCAGTTTGGCCTTCCATCTTCAACTTGTTGTAAAATCTCCAAAACTCAACCAAATCGCTCAATATTTTTTAGAATGAAGCTAGGACTGTCAGCTGTCAAATGACATAGCAATAACATAGATGCTAATGACTCTAGTATTTCCAAAAATGAAATAATGCCATCTGTCACAAAAATGCGTCATGACTTTTCCGATGACCCAATAACTAATGGCTGGGCTACTATTCAGATGTGGATATTTCTTGGGACACTCTTAGTTAACACCCCCCCCCGCCCCACCTCAATTATTCTCTTATATTCGATGGTAGTCCACTGCCTCCAAGAGTGTTTCAGGCAACAAGCATTTCACTTCCAGCACCACACCTCTGCAGGGACCTGGGGGTGTTGAAAGCACACAGAGCTTAGAATGGGCTCTCCTCCTCCACCTAAAAATGGGTGGTAAGTGCCCCATAGAGGACAGTGTCTTATTCTCTCTGTGTGTAGTTTTCTGTATGGAGTACTTTAAACATTAAAGTCTCTATTCAATCCTGACACCTGAAAGTGGGGGGATTAATGCTTCCCCCAGAGATGATAGTGTTCTTTTCGCTAATTTGACAGAACATTCCCACACGCTGTAAACTTACACTTTCATACAGAGAATAATAAACAGCAATCTGAAATATTAACCTACTGGCAGAAAGCTCTGACTGATATAGTATGAGAAAAAAATTTTTTTTGCCTTCCTGTTGCCTGAGTAAAAACTTCAATTATTTCATTTCTTTGGAGCTTAGATATTATTTCTTGATGGTCAATAATAAACTTCAACAACTGAGTGAAGACCTTTCAGAAAGGGTAATGATCCCTCTCATTGAGAAAGGAAAATATATTCATCCTAGTTAGACCTGAATTTATTGTTAACAATAAATAGTATGAGGCTGAATATTAAATACGAAAGCCAATATACTTGCTTTTGTAAGCTTAAATTGTATCACTTCCAACTTAATAGATTATTTTACACAGCTTTAGACTATCCCTATAGATTGTGCTATTGGATTAAAAATAATTGCAAGGGGTAAACTGAATCAACATTAAAGTTGATATTTGCTATCAGGAGAATCAGAGAGCCATCATTATTACTAATTTTAGAATTCAGAAAATTGTAACATTCATTTACCTTTTTTTTTTCTTTTGCTTTGTAGGTTTTATTGATTTCATAGTAGAGCCAACATTTTCTCTTCTGACAGACTCAACAGAGAAAATTATCATTCCTCTTATAGAGGAAGACTCAAAAACTGAAAATTCTTCCTATGGGGCACACAGGTTTGATATTTTCTTTTTTACATTATTTTTCATATTTCTGATGTTTCATAACCTTTTAATTATGATTATCTTTATTATTTCTAACATCTAGGCAGGAAATTCTTACAATAATTATTAGATAGTACTGCCATCTAGTGGCTATGTATTATATTGCACTTGACTTTGAAATTAAGAACTTGATGTGTCCACTACAAAAAAAATACCAAAGTTCTAAGGAATATATCAGAATGGTATTCAATATTCAAGAGAAATTTTTGTTGAGGACATAGATACTATGTCCTGGATATAGTGACATATTTGATTGTGTTGGTTTGCTTACAAAGAAATCAATCACAACCCATTTGTATAGAAAAGATGCCTTTAGGCTTTGCTCCCTCGTCCCATATGCCAACCTTCGTATTTTCTGGTTCTTTGGTTGTTACTGTTAGCTCAAGTATCTTTATGGGTTTATACACTGCTGATTCGTTTAGACGATCAAATGTGAAAGGCACCATGAACGATGGAACCTATTCCCCAGACTACTCCCTTGCAAGTGTGGACCTGAAGAGCTTCAAAAACAACCTGGTGGACATCATCCAGCAGAACAAGGAGAGATGGAAAGAGTTAGCTGCACAAGGTACGGTTGTTTATGAGGCCTACTGCCCTCTCTCATTATCTTAGCTCCTCTGAGATTTTGGATGTTTTTTATAAAATATGCACACCCTTGGTGGTATTTGGAATTTAGCTACCCTTTTATTATTCATAAGAAAGTTGGTTTCATCTGTTAAAGAAAAGGCGTTCTGCTCTGTTTATGCCCCAAGGACTGCAAAAGTGTGTGTGAAGTGGGTGACGGTGAAGTGGATATGAAGGATGGCACAATAAAATGGCAGCAAACTTTATATGACTTAATAACCTCCCGTTCATGTCTAGAGGTACTTTTGAGCCGGTGTTTTTGAGCTTTACAAGTGACTTCTGTGTTGTATTAGGGATGTAGCATTTAGTGTCAGAGATGTGGGTGTCTTGGTTTGTTTGTCTGTTTGTTTCAGTTTACTTCTTTGGCTGACAGTTTCACTCATGACTTGGAAAGATCATTTGTAATTTGCTACCAAAGAAAACAAAAGTGACTCTAGCTCTAGTTATTTCTGTGATATTTTCTGATTCGTATAAATTAGTCCATTTGGTCCACAGGATATGTGAGTTAGTATCTGTCATTATTCTTCGTGCATGAAATTGGCTTTCAAATTCCAGACTTGGCCACTGCCCTGTCTCACAGTCTCTTCCATTGCCCTGTCTCGTCAACCGCTATACACTCTGCACAGTGGCCTTCTGGCAGTTTCTTCATATACTCCAGGGCTTTTGAAATGATTGTTTCTTCAGCCAGAAATTCTCCTCTTGGAACTCTCTGCAAGGCTGATTACTTACTGGCTAGCAGGCCTGTTTTAATTTTTAGTTTGAAAAACACAGCACTTAATAACTCATTTAATTTAATTCTCACATGGACCTTACAAGGTATATGCTATTATTATTCCCATTTTACAGATAAGGAAACTGAGGTAGAGGACAGTTTTGTGATTTGCTCTAAATCTCACAATTAGTAAGTGAAGGAGCTAGAATTTATTCCTTCTTTCCAAACACAGTGCCTTAAAACCCTATGCTAGGCAGCCCCCCAGAGAGGCCCTCTTGGCAAGTAAAAGTTATGTCCTCTGTCCTATTTTTCCCTATTAGAGCCCATCTTAGTCACCTCAAAGCGATATCACTTATCCACAATCAGTGATATTTGCTTATTCCTTTCCTTATTTATTGTGTGTCTTTCACATGAGAATGTATGTTCCACAAAAGTTGGGCTCTGGCCTATTGTGTTTTCCAGTGTATTCTCAGCGACTAGCACGATGCTAAGACTATAATAGGCACTCAGCAAATGTTTGTTTAACATAAATAGTTAATTAATCCTGGATGGTGTCACATTATTCCTCAGCCTTTGCTATTAAAAAAGAGAAGAAATACCAATCTAATGCTTTCATCTGATTCTGTAACTCATATTTTCCCAGCCATATAAGCCTGACTTTAGTTGAAAGGAAATAGTTTCCCAAGCATTGGAGGCTTTATACAGCCAGTAAGAGAGCCACTTCCTGGGTGCATAACCTGTGTAGTCACATAGGCCCCTATGCTCAGAATGGGCTTGTGCTTATTTGAATGCGCTACTATTGTCTTCTTGAAATTCTTTGTAATTTTTGAGCCAGGAGCCTCATTGTATTTTTCACTGGGCCCTACAATTGGGGAGCCAGTCCTGGCCATCACAGAGAACCTTTGTAATGCTACGTTACTGTCACTCAGTAAAGAACCTAATACAAGACCCAGACAACAGTAGATAAAATGGAAATTCAGAGTGGTGAGGAAACTTTGAAGCCAGAATCTTTCCTGAGAGTATCTGTTTACCATTTCTGGATCACAGGTTTGCAGACAGCCTTTGCCACCATGTTGGGTTTATGCCAGAAGTGCAAATCCAATTCTATGTTTTAAAATTCTATTACTGCATCTCACTAAATTAGTGATCAAAGGAGAAAAATGTAAGATCTTGAGAGATGCAGAGAGCATTAAGAAAAGTCAATATTCAATCATGATAAAAATTCTTAAAATTCAGAGGAACATTCTTAATCTACTATTTCTGTTCTCCCACTTCTCATTTTTATTGCTTGAGGTTTTTCTTTTTTTTTTCCATTCCAACTAATTTTCTTTATGGTTTGAAATATTTATACTCTATTCCTATTATTTTCATGATTAATTAGAAAATTTTAACTATATAGCCAACCGTAGATAAGAGTGACATTAATCAGTAACTTTACCTGTCCACCAAATAACACAAAAACCTTAAAAAACTTTGCCTTTGATATTTTTAAAGACGTTTAAAAAATACAGACTTTATGTTAATAAAACCTTAAAATATACGCTTGAAACTCAAGAATATGAGGATTTCTGCTTTTCAGCAGTTTTGAAAAGTCAAGCTAGTGCAGAAAACTCTCTCAAGGTCTCTTCTGGGCATGCGAAGTTCCTCAGTCAGCCAGGGATGTATGGAGGGCGGTCTCAACCCTTCTATGGCTACTAATTGCTAGGATTTTTCTATAAATCCTACTGGTCTACCATTTGCTCCAAACATGGACCACAACTTCAGGCTTGAAAAGCTGTGGGTTTCCCCCCCATTTTTTCTAAACTAAATCCACCACTCCATGTAAGAGAATCCAGGGGTTCTGCCCTCTCTTCCCACCCCAATTTGAGGAAGTCACCTCTGGCAGCAAAGCTGGTTTCTGCAGCAGTTCTCAAGCCGAGGTTGATGGTGGGAGGTCCAGAGCAGCTCCAGGCAATCAGGTCACAGGTTCCTGCTCGTCTTAGCTGACGCTCCAGCAATTTTTCACAAATAAATGCTTCTCAAATTGTTGTGTTGCCTTGATTGATGTTCAGTGTGATGGGATAGTTGTTTTTCTTAATATTTTCCAAGTTTATACTTGTTTTCTGTGGAAACACTTGAACTCTTTACATCACTGTAACAGGAAGTCCTCTTTCTTCACGCTGGTTTTTTAATTAAACGTGCTGATTTATGTAATCTGCTTAGAAGTACCAGCCAGGAAAGGCTTTACTGAGAAAGTGATAACTTACGTAAGTACATTAAGGAAGTTAGAAAGAGCTATGGGGAGGTCTGGGGTAAAGGGTGGGGAATACATTTTCAGACATAGAAAATAACCTGCAAAATAGTAGGGAGGCCAAGCTTGTCTGACATGCAGAGATACCAGGAGGCAGATGAAGCTGAGGGACACTGAGCAAGTGGGGAAAATGTAGGCCATGTGATAAACGGGTTATGTGCTACATCATTGGTTTTGGCCAAAGACAGATAGATAGTCTAATCTGCAGAGTTTGGGAGAAGAAAAATAAAGTGGTCTGAATTGAAGTATTGAAAGGATTACTGGGGCTGCAGCATGGAAAATATTCTTCTCTTTGGGAGGCCAAAATAGAAACAAGGAGGCTAGAAAGGAGGCTATTGTTTATAACCCAGGAGAAAGATTGGAGGTTAAAACAGGTGGTAGTGGTGGGGGTGAAGTGTCTCAATTCTTGATACATAAAGATGGTGGCTTCATCCAGTGTGTGTGAGTAGGAAGAGATAGCAAAATGAAATTGGATTCTGGATATATTTTGAAATTAGAACTGATAGGATTTGTTAATATATTAGATGTGAAATCAAGAGGGGAGTCAAGAATAATAATGCCAGACTTACGGTTTTCTTACACGTGAATTATATATAATAAGTTTATGTAATTATTTTACAGAGCCACTTGGGATTCTTTAGCCAAGCTTAAGATGCACATGCCATATTTCCCAACAATGTCACCATGTATTTTCACCCTAGAGAGACTTTTGCTCACGTGCATCAGAAGACATAAGCAAAATGTTCATTACAGCATTGTTTATATGTCCACCCCCCCAAAAAAACAACCCAGTAAAATTAATTCATAAGCTGTGGTGTATTCATATCATGGAAGAGCATACTGCTGTTTAGATAAGTGAACTTTAGCTGTGAGCCTCAACAGGGATGAAAGACACACAGTGTTGATCCAAATATGCAAGCTGCTGAAATATACAAGATGCCATTTGTAGAACTTTATATAAAAAACCCTGCAAACTAAACAAGGTTTTAGAATACACATATGATAAAACTAAAGAATGTTAGCGGGAAATATTCAGAACCTAGGGGGAAGGATGGAAGATTTATTTAGGAATTAATTTTATTTTATTTCTTAGGTTGGATGCTAGACACATAAATGTTCATTTTATGAATATAGTTATACCTAGTGATATATGTACATATAATCCATTTGTATAAATAGAATATTTCATAATAAAAATGAAAACAATGCGATTTGCTACACACAAACATATGTATGTATTCAGTCTTAAATTCACTGAAGATGAAATTCTTTATTATAATTACATTGAAATGAGAATAAACAGGTTATAAGATGCTTAGAGCTTTGGAATATAAATTAAATTTGAGGCTCTGAACAGAATCCCAGATGTTTGCTCACCATCATATTAGCCCCGAAACTACATTTTACAGATATCTCAAAAACATCCCACTGACCCTAGAGCAGTGGAAAGTGTGGATGCTTAGGCTCCAGGGTGTGACGCTCCTGGGTCATCAGTAAGACAGAACACTTTTTTAAAGAGTAATTTCATTCATCAAGACTTCACTTAAGGGTCTGGGAACATCTTTCTAAGAACGTTGTATGTAAACACATTCCTTTTTAGCGTGGGGCCTTTAAAAAAAAATGCTTTCCTCCATCCCAACGGTTTTTGGTTTTTTTTTGGTTAAATCTTACCCATTTTAAGTGAGGAAAATGCCTTCATACCCCACTCAGCATTCCTCAGCATCTTAACTCTCCTCAAAAAATGTGACTATTGGAAAAATAATACCTACTCTAAAGAAGAAGCACATATTCCCATAAGTCCTTGCCTATCTCCAGTGGTGCTCCAGAGGCTTGGAGATCATGGGATGCAACTTTGAGAGCAAGGTGCCTAAGGAAGTAAGAAAAAAAACAAACACATTTGCCTATACTGGTGGCCAACTAGGTGATAGATGCCTAATTAACA